TGGATGGATGGATGGATGGATGGATGGATAGATAGATAGATAGATAGATAGTGTTTCACTGGGTTTGGATGTTTAATGTCTTTAACCGTCTTGAACTTGGTTATGAAAACAAGAGAGCGAAGCACATGTGGTTTACGTTGAAAAAAGCGAGCACAGTAATGGTTAGCGCTAGCGTGAGAACGGCACAGGGGTCTCTGGGTTCCTGCAGGAGAAACCACAGGCCCCACACTGTCTCTGCGGCCGAGTAAAGAGAGCCTGCGGTGGGCCAGAGTCGACTGATCCGCTCGCCCAGAGCTCGTCATGCGGCGTGACATTCGATCACCTTCTTACTCTCGGTAAACAGATTTCTGCTTGACAAACTGCAGTCCGAGTAAAACGTGGTGGGGTGGAATAACAGAAGAGAGACGAGCAGCTTCCTGAGGCCAAGCCGGCGGTTCTGCTGCAGTCATTCCAGAGCAAACGTGACATGATCGCGGCGCTTCGAGGCCCCTTCTGTTCAGATGGAGTCTGATCAAGAGTTCCCGTAATCAGATGAGTCAGTGGATGGGCCACTCGCCAGATAAACTAAACTAGATAAGACACTACACCATCTGAACAACCTCTCTTTGCTGGTAGTGATGGGAAGGGCGACTCTTTTTCTGTGAATTGACCGGATTGTGGGGGAAACCCAAGCCTCATCCAAGTACTAGCCAAGCCAAACCCTGCTTAGCTGCCAAGATCAGACGTATCAATAAACACGAGGTCAAGGTTTGGTCAAGTGGCTCTTTAGTAGGGTTAGGGCTCTCGGGACTCTTCACTCAGTCTCAGATTCACTCAGTCTATTTGTTCATGAATTAGCAGTGTGCGCAAATAGTCAAACATTAGAATATTCCATCTGTAATTATTATTCGACAAATAACAATACTATTAGAATTTTACTACGTGCTGCTTCGTAGGCTGTAAATGCAGGAAATCCATGATAGATCCTAAGTGCGCAAACTAAAAGTCAGTTATAACTAAACGCACTGGGTGGCGCTGTGGAGCGTGTTAACACGTGGATTGTATTTGATCACAGAATGTCGTCGTCTGCCTCGTGAAGTTTGGAGTTAGTTAGACATATGCTTCCTTTATGTTTCCTCAAAGTTGAGTGGTTTAAGAACAGAAAACACAAAGCGCTGTAAGAAACTTTGCTTAGAACACCGTCTGTTATCTTTGTGTCTTTGGACGTTCTTACTGTTATCAGACTAAGGAGCCAGCTTTCACCCGAGCATGTGGATATTATTGTTTTTCTCAACATTAACATGTGAAACAATATAAATGCGATAAACATAGGCCAACTCGAGTGTATGTACGTTCTAAACTGCTATCGGCAATCTCCTTTATTTTTTCTATTTGCTCTGCTTGATTGCTTTTGTTCTTTATATGTATATTTTACACACGTTTTCAACCAAAAGAAAACTTTGAGATAAAACGTAACATTGTTGTAGAACTTTGTTGTATATTATGTGTAATTATAAGCTTGTTCAGAAATGGTGACAAAATTGATTATTAAAAAAATAACATCTTTCTCGCTAAACTTTATTTAAATAAACAAATATTCGAATATTCGTATTTTATGAGCACAAATATTCGAATACAATATTTTTTTAAATCATGGCATTTATCATGAATTAGCTAGCTGGTTTCTTTGGTTTTAGAATTACGGTGACAAACAGACGTCAACAAACCCGACTCCCGCTAACATCCGTCTTACCTTAAACTCCAGCTCCATCCCGGTGACGTTCTCTCCGGACTCGATCTGCGTGAGTTTCTGGATGTATGCGTACAGGTTCCTGGCGGGAACCTCGGTGGTGCCGCAGGTGACGGCCTCCTGGAGCGCGTCGTGAATGAAGACATACTGGTCTTCCGTCTGGACCATGTAGTTCCTCTGTGCACGCATGAGCGTCACGTGACCGTAGATGTCCACCGTCTTCTCGTGTTTGATTCGCTCCAGCATGGCGTCGATGACGATGAAGCAGCCGGTCCGACCCACGCCGGCACTGTCAGACAACAGGACAGATGTTTGACAATGTTAGATCTGATGTGTAGGCATGCTCCGAAGTGAACATTCTTGGCTGAAGCCGAACCGAACTGAATTAAACACTGGGATGAAGGCCGAATACCAAACATGGTTTTTCACATTTTTTTCCCCATGTGTTTTACCTATTTTTTTTTTTTTTCACCATTGCATAGATTAAATAGCCAATATGTGCTTTTTAAATCAATTGCAAAACAACAGTTTAAAAATAGTTATTTAACAAAACACAATTTAAGTTAGTAAAATAATATTTATTGGCCACTTTTGAGACCCCCTTCTTGAATCAGGTGTGTATTTTTAACTGTACAAATAAATGCAGTCTCGCTGAGCAGAAGAGGCTTCTTTTAAAACATTAGAAAATATTACAGATCCCAAATTGAACACTATGTGTGAATGTTATAATAAATGTATTAATGGAGCTGTTGTAATTATTAATATTATTATTGTCTTATTTATTCTTTTATAGAACAACAGTAAATTTATAATACTAACATTTATGAATGCTGATGGAGTGTTTTGTGTTTTGGTTCAGTTTTTATTTTGGCGGAAACCAGCAGGAAGACCTCAGTGACTCTTTTTGTTGTCAACAGCAGATTTATAAATGATTCTCATTACGAATTTGGGAATATGTTTGTCGCATGTATCACACTGTCACATTCGTAGTAAAAATTGGTAAAGATGTTTCTGAGCAGCTGACGAGTAATGCTGTTTCAGCTCAGATTTTCCTCCTTTGGACTTGGCTAACCCTTGCTAACGAGCAGATAGCGCCGCGAGCTCGCTCTCACTCTATGCTGGTTGATATTTGATCGCGTCACATCATTGTTCAGTACAATTTATTCTGTCTTTTAATATAATTTCGGTTGCTGAACATTCGGTGCATCCCTACTGTTTTGTGTAGTTTGTGTTCAGATACATTTTCATTGTTTACACACACATGCAAACTGCTAAAACAATGGGACACGGCTGACAGTAAGTGATGTGTCACATTTCTGTGGTGAATGCAGAATGTTTTCCACAGTCAAACAGTATTTAATGGCAGAGATCGGCGTACACCTGTCAGAGCAAAACAACCCCTCCATTTAGCCTCTCACCCTCTCTAACCTTCATCTACAGACTCTAAAAGCCTCCATCTACTTTCCTCTTTCCATCACTTTGAAGAGGCCAAAGCTTTGCTAACTTCTTGAAGTGCAGCCGTTGACGTCAACCACAGGCACTTCTCCATGAAACACCTGAGATCAGAGCCCTTCATTACGACCAGAGCTCCACAAACGCTCACATTAGCGCTCTTCCTGCACGAAGACGTGAGCGAGAGAGAATTCTTAATCAACTCATCCAAATACTAACCAAGACAAGCCTTGCTTAGCTTCCTTGATCAGTATAGTTCAGTCTAACTAAAAGGGACTGTTTTACTAATTATCTGTGTTGTGCATTGTTCATCGACTAAATATAATTTTAAAATTGTGATTTCCAGACCAGGGAAAGTCGTGGAAATGAATAAAATCTTAGATCTCCATGGGCATTCATTTATTGTTTGTTTCTTCTGTTAGCATCTAAAATATATAATTGGGTAGAAATTGGCAGTAAAGAAATAGTTTTAAATGAATCACGAATAACTGTAAGTTATTAAACGCCAGAGCATGTTGTCACATTTTTGTGACAACTTTTGTCATGAGTTTAACCAGCTTATTTTACGACTGCTCCATATTCAGTTTAAGTTGCATACATTTTGTTCTTGCATTGATGTTACATTTGTAGCAATTTTGCACTTTGACAGTTAGTTTGAGATATAATAACTATATAAATATTATCGTGTGTATCGGATAGTTTACTAAATCAAATGATTGGGACACTTTTTGTCACTGAAATGACTTGGAAAAAGTGTCCCAATCAACCTGAATTAACTCCACTCTTTGAAATCATGATTGCATTACAGTATGTTGTTTTAAACCCCAAATATTTTACTTATAACTTCATTATATTTTACTTATAACTTCATTATAATTATTCATTAACAATAATTCAGTTATTTGTAATGTTAATTCTAAAACAAATAATAATAATAAATTGAAAGTGGTTTCAATGTAGCTAGCTTTTTCAGAAGGGTAGCTTGAATGTAGCTTAACTACTTTAATTGCGAGTAGCTTGTAGCTGTCAGTCAAGCTACAGTTTTAGAGTAGCTTCCCCAACACTGTGAAATAAACCAGTCCTGAAATATCCACTGCTACTAGCAAGACTTAATGTGCTTTATGCAAAATCAATGTCTTTGTGTTTTTGACAAGTTCATACGTCTGAAATCCCTGCCACTCAGGAACCCTCCGTCTGTCTGTCCAGTGACCTCTGTGACATTCAATCATGTGCTTGGATGGACTTTCTCTTTTGTTGCAATAACAGCTGACTGCATGCACTTCAGCAGCGACCCGTGGGCTACAGGTGACAGTGGTAAACACCCTCTTTACAGCCTCACACACACACACACACACACAGACACACACACACACACACACACACACACACACACACACACTCACACTCACACATTTTGTTTAATATGGGCCGGTCAGATTTTTTCAAAATATATATAAATAAAATTGTTTTTACGGGCCAACTAAAAACAATTTAGTTGGCCCGTAAAAAAATAATAAAAAAATAGGACGGGTTTTTATCGCTTACACAATTTCTCTATGGTTATAGTAATAATAATGTTAATAATAAATAAATGTTAAGCATTTGGCCCAGTCGCCTGGTCCCGAGATGGGCCGACCGAACCGTTCAGTCAGAATCAAGCATGTCATCAGAGAGATTGCAACACGAGCTAATTTTCAGTAAAAGCTAGATAATGGACCATAAAAAAGGAAAGGTGGTGCAGAAAAACTTTGAGGAAAAAAAAAAAAAGGGGGCTTAGGTCCGACGCTGCTAAATGCGTAAAATGAACCGAACTCTTTTCAAAAGGTTTAAATTCGGCTGCTGCAGTGAAGAACAGTTAGTGCCGCAGAGGTAAGAAGAAAACAGAAAATAGAGCTAGCACAAGTCATTTTCACACTACTTCTGCCAGTTAGCTCGTGTTTTTTTTTTTGACAGTAGCCTACATTGTATTAAACAGTTGTAAGCTTAGCGTAGAGCCCCAGTATATTTTAAAATGCCATTGCCTCGTGATAATTGGTTAACTTAAGTGTTAATGAGCCTGTTACTGAATGTTGCTATATATTCTTTTCCCTTTTTTGCTATTATTACTTGTTTGTATTCATGTGTATTCCGATGTTGAGAGCAGTCAGTGAGAAAATATTTCGCTGTAATGTTTAAGTCCTATACTGTGTTCATTAACTAGGATGTTGCTGGAATCAGTACAGTCAGAGACCCCTGGTCTTTCAACACCAGTGCTGTGAGGAAGGATGCTACAGTATGAGACAGAGAGGAGTGTGGTAGAGGTAGGAAAAACCCAACAGACAGACAGTGACAACAAAGAACAACATACTGTAGAGAATGACAGTAACAGCAGACAAATGGCATAAACAGACAGCACACAGACTCTACAACATCCTCAGATTCTTTTTCTTTTGTTTTTACTGTATGTGTAAATTTGTTATAAACGTGCGCTCTTTAAAAAGTAGTAAGCATTGTTTGCCAGACACATACATTAAATGTTTAAATATCTGTTACATATATGGTACTGCTTATATTATTTCACCATCTGTACACAAATGTAAGTAGTGAATGCGTGTGTCCGTGGGTGGGGCTGTGTCGGTGTGGTAATGTGGGCCGGTGTGGCTACAGTGCCAGGGCTGAATTTTTGTCCCAGTCTGCCCCTGCGTCTAGCATTAAGCACATGCAATCTGAATGTTCATTCTGCAGCAGGCGAATCGTTTGCAGTGCAGTTAATCACCCACGAGCGCAGGAGGAGGAGCTTTTGTTTGGCCTGACAAACAGCACATATATAATCTCCCGCCTCACGTGATGCTGCCGGCTTAAACCTTTCTCTGCTCCTGCCGAAGGATGCGTCAACTATCTGACAGCCGCCGCGGAATGAAAGAAAGAGATTTTTAATGGTCAGACGGGACGGCGTTTTGGTGCGGATTAAAGACTCGCTGTCGAGTCGTTATCTGATCTGAGCTGAAAGGAATTCAAAGTCTCCGTCCCAATGAATGATATTAATTCCCGCACGCCGGCCAGAGAAAAGAGAGGAAATAAGGATTTTTCAATTTCAAGCGCTCCACTGGGAGCTCTAATTAACTGCTGTATGTGTTATTTTTAAGGGTTTACTAATCCTTGTTTTCTATCTGGCAGTTTTCCGATGGAAGCTCGTGGCTTGACGTTTTTGCATGTCTCTTTCTGCCTGATGTTTTTGTGCCGATTTCGCTTAGAGGGGAATTTAACAGATGGTTTCATATCTGGGTTTTCCATAAATGCAAGAGTGCCTCATTCTGCCATGCACTAAAATCATGTTTTTTTTTGACACACCATCGAGTCTCATGAAATTGTGTGGTTAAAACTTGAGATCTATCAATGGTTTGACCAATCAAATTTTTATTTTCAGTTTTCTACATATTATATGAGATTAGTTCTTTATGGGTTCTAATGATAAACGTAAAGCACACAACACATTATTACATCACCTGTGCTCAGCAAGAGACACTTCTGCTCACCAAGGCTGCATTTATTTGATAAAAAATACAGTAAAAACTATAATCATCTTACAGAGTAGTGAACATTTACATTTATATATGTAAAACTAAAAAAACATTTACATAATTACGTTTTGCAATCTCATGATTATCATCGCTGTGTTATTAATCATATAAATATGAATGCAGCGGCTTCAGACCTGCAGTGCACCACCATGGGTCCGGCGTCCGGTGGGTTGCAGGACTTGACTCTGCGCAGGAAGGCCAGGAACGGCGTGGGATGCTCCGGAACGCCGTGATCCGGCCACGCCGTGAACTGGAACTGCCGCACCTCTCGCTTCTCGCTGGAGCCGTTCTGAACGCAAGAGTAAAAGAAATATTAGCCATCATTTACTCACCCTCATGTCCCCTCAGACCTGCATGCTGTTGTTTCATCACAGAAGAAGATGGTTTCTGGAGCTCGGCAGCGCTGTGAGGGCGAGTGAATGTGGCTTTGCTGGTCAGCAACGCTCCCGTACCTTGTAAAGTGCAAACGTCCGGACGCAGTACGTGGCCAGCTCCACCGTGTCCAGCAGCGTGACCTGAATGAGTCCGTACGTCTCCGTCGCTCTGTTGGGCCAGTACTGGTCACACTTCACCTGAAACACACACAAACACACATCGTGTTCAGATAAAGCCGGAGAAGGAGCGGCGCTTTTCCCATTCCCTGCTGACAAGAGGATTTCTCAACACAGCAGCGAGTGACAGACGCTATAATTACTATCTCCAGCGCTCTGTCGCAATCACATCACAGCCGGCCGTCATTACCATTATAGATGTGGGCTGCATTGTGAGCGGCGCACCGAACAAAAGAGATGCTAAACATGAAAAACCACACGCAGATCTGTCTGAATGCAAACAAGAGCTGGATCTGAACGATCATATTCTGCTAATAACATTAGGACGCTGAGATCATTAAAATGCATCGAGTGGAGACGCTCCAGCGCCAGATCACCAACTGAAGAGCAGGGCTCCTGCGTCTTTACAGCAAGCATCAGACTATGGATTCATGCAAAGGACGATTCATAAATGCAGGAAAAATCAAGGCATGAATTTAAATTCTGCAGCTGAAAACAACACGAGTCTTGCCTTAGAGAAGAAGTGAGAGGGAATCTGAGAAGCACACAATGGTGCAAATAAGGAAAGAATGGAAATTAAATTGTGGGTGAAATCTGTAAAAATTGAGGATGACATGGATTGTGATATTAATTAGACCAATAATCAGTTTGACAAAAGCTTTTCAACCTGTTTGGAAACATTTGCCATATTTAATGTAATTTGTCAAAAATAAGACCGTTAAAGCCAACGCTTTCCACAAATAGAGCACCAAACAGGGCCATACAAAACAGAGCTGCTTTACTGTCAGAAAACCCTCAGGAGGAGAAACTCAGTTTTATTTCAGCTGTTTTATTTTCTATTCCTGTGACATTTGCAATTTTTTCCCAACCCTATTACTAAAATGTAAGACATAAACACACCTTGATTTGTGTGATTTTGTCAATTATTTCAGCAAATTATCAGCAAATAGGTAAATGCTATAAAATACTTAATACATTAATTTATTTCCTATACATTTAGCATTTAGGTTTACAAGACGTATATTTCCTTTTTTTAACTTTTCCCCCTTATAATCAGGATTGCACACAAAATGTGTGACAGTTTAATGGTTATTTCATAATTAACATAAGTTAAAATTTAATATTTCTTTACTACATTTATGGTATTGTTGTCAATTATACATTATGCCATTGTTGGCATTGTTATAGGATTTTAAATCGTTAGATCTAGTCGAGAACTTTATGCTAGGTGCATTTTATGTGAGATAATAGTTTTCAAACATATCTAACATAATATAACTCTGTATGATATTTATGACAAGTGGCAGTTATAGAAATAACTGTTATTTATTGTTAGTTATAATTACTGTAACGATAATTAAATCAGTACTGCATATTAGCCAAAAACATGTGACAGAGACTGTAGTGAGTATGTATTTAAACTAATGTTAAATAGGTTTATGTGTCATTGATTGATGCACTCGTGCATACTGCAGTGCACTTGCAGAGACTCCGCCCACACGCTCTTCTGATTGGCTGTGATTTGTGATTGATTTGTTGTGGACAGATTGGTTAGAACAGGCCGTAAGCCAATCGAATCGAGGTGAGTAGTGATGTCAGAGCGTGTCATACCCTGGATCTTTCCTCCAGTTTGGTCATCATGACGATGTTTGAGCTCCGCTGCTCCCAGATCATCCGCCAGAAATCGCCGAAGGTCTCGGGCAGCGCGCCTTGAGTGGCGATGTAAGCATTCTGCTTCCGGTAGCCATCGATGTAGTTTGCGTTGATGTAATCGCTGCCTGGAATACCTGCCAACACACAGCAGAACACACTGAGAACCAGAAACTACTCAACCGTTCGAGTTCTGAGTGTTTTTAGCATGTTGCTCAAGTATTCTGCTAGCTCAATGCTAGTTTTTGCTTTTTGTTTTTCCACGCAATGGTCAATTTTGAGATTTTATTGCTCTCTATATTATAAAGATTTTTACTGAAGGGTTTGGTCATATTTTATACGCCTGGTTTTATTGTTGCACTTCATTTATTTGTTTGTAGAATTAAATTACAATACATATCTATAAAGGCAATTTTCTCAAAATTAGTTTTTTCTCCACTTTAGCAGCACTTACATGCACCAAACCATACAGTTTTATTCCTTTCTATATTCTGAAGGTTTTTACTGTGGGGTTTGTTCATATATCATTTGCACTGATTTATACAACATTTTGTTTGTAAAAACACGGAGAGAAAGTGTTATTTTCAGTATTTTCGTATTTATGGAGTGATAAAAAGAGTAATGCAAAATCCCCTCAGTAGAAAACATTACCTCTAATATGTCGACAAAATCAAACAAGAATTATGAACCTGGATTCATCTAATGTTGAGAAAAGTTCAAATATTAGCTCATATGAAATAGTCTGTATTTAATAATATAATGTCTTGTTTGCATACTTAACATAACATTCAGAAAAGCTCCAAAAAATTGTCTTAATGGACTGTGATTAATCAGCTGGGTAAGTATGGTGATATATATATATATATATATATATATATATATATTAGTTGAAATGTTCTCTTTGTTGTGCCTTAAATATGCTCTAGATGAGCGTCGCTCAAACTGACTTTCATTTAAAGACTTAAAGCGTGTTTCGTTTTTGTTCATCATCCATGTGCTTATCAAAAGCAAATCATTTAAAAGCAGAACAGTCTACACACACACTCTCATTATTCATTATGATCCTTTTAGGAAAACAGTTCAGTGAAATCGTTAAAATTCAGATGTACGTTTCCACAAAACGGCCCTGAATCTTTATTCCATCCTGTATATATTCTGTGATTTCTGATGAGCAGACCTTCATTCTCTGCGAGAGAAACAGTGGAATGAACTGACAGTAAGTGAAGACGTGTGAGAAATCTGGAGAAAAGGCAGCGAGGCTTGATTTCTGCTGTTAGACGGCTCGCAGCTCAGCTCACGCATGCAGCGGCGAGATAAAACTCATCCCAGCGCTCGCTCGCCCGCTCTGTCTGTCTCTACTCCAGGTGAATTATTTTACTGAGACCTAATAAATAAATTAAAAACTCCATGTTTTTCATTTTCTCCTTCATTCTGTGACTGACAGCATAGCAAAAGACAACTAATCCTGCATTTTCTTCTCTCTGTTATAGACAAAAGAGGACAAAATGACACACAGATATAAAAAAATTTGTACTGAACCGATGTGTGTG